GCCGACGTACCTAATTCCCAACAAACCAATACTGTTAAAAAGAGCAGTGTTTTTGTTTTTTTGAAAAAAATTATATTATACAGTGTAGTTCAATTATAGTAAAATGAAAATGGAATAACGAGTTCAAATCGTGAACTAATAAACAAATAAATTGTGAAAAAAATGAAAAAAATATTAAATTTATGACAAAAACTTAAAAAATGGCAAAATAATAATATTGGTAAAATGCAATAACATTTATTCCAAAACAAATAAATATGTTTTTATACATAAAACAATAACAAACAATTGGTTTTAAGTTGAAATAAAATACGAATTGCATTGTGAAACATTAACACATCAGTGAAAATTATAAAAAAAACACATAAAGTTAATAATACAATAGTCATTTTGAAATAATTAAAAACTTTTCAAATACCAACTATGTAGACTATTAATTTCATTTCTTTAATTGATTATATGACTTACTGAGTTTTTCAAAATCTTTTTTGTCTATTATGTATATTTACTTTCTCTTGATATTAACAAAAAAGTCATTAATTTCTTGTATTGTCTTTATCAAGATAATTGATTAAAAACAAACTCAAAAAAATCTGTTACAGCTATAATTTAAAGTGTCAAATTTCCTTTTGACAATAATTTTACTTCAGTACATAAAATTTACTATTATATTTCGTGTCATTATCCGAATTTATGTCATGTCTATGATTTGTTGCCATTTGCTTGTTTATGAATCAGTTACATTGATGAATGTAATAAAACAATTTAAATTATCTATTGAAATAAATATTTGGGATATTTTAACAAAACAAATAATTATATTTTGATTGTCCAAAAAACAAAAATGTCAAAATTCTTTGTTTATATCAATAGAACATTACCTCTGTGATAATTTATAAAATGAAAACCCGCAATATAAGTATTAATACAAAACATTTTTTTTATCAAACTTGTTTTATTGTGTTCAAACTATTAAATAGTTTAGTGATTAAAGTGACGACACTAAAAACCGCAATTTGGTGATAAAAACACAAACATAACCAATTGATTTGGTTTTATAATAAAAAGATATCTTCATAAAAATGGTAACTTCAATTTGTGATTCAAATTATTTTGAAATAATCATATCTTATTGTAAATGATACTATTTCAGAACACTGCATATTGGTTTTTACTAATAATAACAAAAATGGATGTAAGACTATTTGACATTCGAATTAAATGTATATTCGTGTTCAAAACACATAAAATGAGTGAATGATGGAAATCAAGTAATTATTCGATAAAAACCAAATCAAACACGTTAATTCGTCTAAAGTGAATGCTTCATGACGAGATAATATAAATTTTATATTTCAAATGATACAGATATTGAAACAATTGTTAATAAAGCACTTACATAATATTTTTAATTATATTTTATAATATTTATAAACTATATAGTAGAATATGTTATATTATATTTATAGAATTATGTTTGAAAAAAAATAAAATTTCGGGCATATAACGTGATCGCATGAGAGCACCAAAACAACAGAAAGTGATAAAGTCGAGGTTTTATCACAATGATTGAGACTTGTACTATATATTTCAGATAATTGAAAAGAACCATAACTTAAGCACTTTTTAAATTTATTAACATAAAAACCATAAAATATTGATATAAAGACGTTTTTTAACATTGAAGCATTTCAATGTGATACAGTTTAATCACAAAAAGATAAATTTAATTTACTACTATACAAATTAATATGGACAGTGTCAATAAACTTTTACAACAAATTGACATAATCATAACGTTCTTGACAAAAGTAATATTGATCAAATCACTGAGATAATGTTCTATTGTTATTTTATTGATATATTTGGTGTATATTTTATTATTTGTTTTATTTAAATATTAATAAACAATATTCTTTTTATTGTCGATAAAAACGAATACTTTTTTTACAATTCTCTATAATTTGGTTGCTTAACAATCATTTTTTTGCACTGGAAACATTGTTTTATATATCCATTATTATTGTTAATTGCGTTTTTGATCAAAGTTCAATAATTTTTAAAAGTAATGTATGTTGGCTTTGTATTGTTGTTGTGATATATCACGTTTTTAAATATTATTTTTGTATTGATACAGAAGCATGTTATTTTATCTTAATATCAACATATATTTTTTATTTAATTCAATCAATAAACGCTAATATAAGTCTGTTTTTACTTGTCACTATTGTTATTTGTTACTTTTTGTTATCAAAATTTGTCATGTTAAACTTATCCAATACGCATCTTTTATTATTATAAACTGTTTCCCAAAAGTCGAGAGTACCCCAAAATATTTTGGTCTATTTTTATCATAATGTTTTGGGAAAACCACGTAATCTATTTATATTTCAATATCAACTTTTTTCAAAAATTAAAACCATTAATTGTTGAAAATCTTAATTAAAAACACGTAAAAATAAGATACAATTAATGTAATAACACTTTTATTCTCGAGCAACTTTTTTAAAGAAGATGGCCAATGAATTTACCTTTTTCTTGGATACAAAAAGAAAATCTTTTTTCCATCGATTGCATTAAATTGTTAATTGTATCCATTGGTATCGATTCCCATTCTTTCTTCAGCACTCTAAACAAACTCTTTTTGTTTTTAAAATATTTTTTTCTTTTTTTCTAATTCTATTTTCAAGTATCGACCAAACGTTTTCAATTGGTGATAAATCCGGACTTGAAGGAGGCCACCCAGTCAATCTCACTTTATTGTTCTCCAAAAATTCAATGTCGTTTTTCCCGTGTGTGGCTTGGCACCATCTTGTTGGAAACAGACTATTGTTTGTTGCGTTTTCGTCTAATATCATCAAACACTTTATTACTTTCAAGCATGTGTTGATA